TTTCATATTTCCATATAATATACTTTCTAACTTAAATATGTTATGAATTAGAAATATTATCATAAATGGAAGACTACTTGAATTATCAATAACTTTAATATAGTGTTAAATATAATAAACGTAAAAGAACACAAATCTAAAAGTAAATTTTACTAAAACATCATAAAAACTATTTTTTGTAATAACTAAAGTTCAGTTAAATTGTTTTTAAATTAATTTATAATAAGAATAGTTAAAATAACATAAAGTTATAAATTAAATTATATTACATCACACACAATGATTGATAATTTAAATAATCATCATGATAAAATTAAAATATCGTCAATTTTTTTTTTGAAAGTTAATAAATCATAACATTAGTTGATTAAAATAGATGAGAAGTATAATCAATTTTATACATACATAAAAGGTGAGTAGATACCATTAAATAATTCTATTTTGATAAGTGTCATATTATATATTGTTCAAATTAATTATAATGTTACATTAACTAAATACCTAAATGTGATAATAATTATTTTTTAGTTAATATAAATGACATAAATATTTTCAATAACATATGATTACTAAAAGGTTAACTATATAATCCATGACTTTTCAGTTTCTCTTTAATAATGATATATACAAATTTCGCAACTTTTTTAACAAATTTGGTGAAAAAATTTTTGAAAAAAAAATCGACTTTTTATTATTTTTTCAGCGAAATTGTTAAAAAAACCTGCGATTTTTTGATGTGTAAAATAAAAAAAAAAAAGTTTTGTGATCTCTAAGTATTTTTGTATGCATTTTTATGATTTTTAGGGTTTTTTGTTTTCCATAGAACCTAAACCTATATATATATATATATATATATATATATATATATATAGATATATATATATATATATAGGGTAAACTGAACCAAAATACTTCAGTTGTTAATTTAAATATAAGATTAAAGTGTCAACTTAAATATAAATTTCAGTTCCACTTAAAAAAACTAAGAATATTTTGTAAATAGTTAAAAGTGATAAATTGTTGTGATAAATGCAAAAACTAAATTGTAATATCAATTCGACTAAAATATTTTCTAAAGATATTTTTATAATCGTTATTAGTCTTCAAATAAGTAGCTTAGAATAATTTACAATAGCAGTAGTTAAAAACAACTTTATATAAATGATTATATTGTTATATTTAAAATAAAAAACAATGTTTGATGTTTTAAATAATTATAATGATAGAATTAAAACATTAAGCAAATAATTTTTAAAAAATTAATAAACAATAACATAAATTATAAATAACATTAAACCATATATTATATTTAATTTTATTCATGTGCAAATCGCGGGTAGAAGTTATTCAAACGATTAAGATTGTACAATTATAATAGATGTATTATAGAGTTATTATACCAAATTTAATAACAACGTTATTGTTATTATACATATATTATATATTATCATATCATTCAAAATAATCAATATATTATAGAGTTATTATACCAAATTTAATAACAACGTTATTGTTATATTTAAAAAAAACATATATTTGTAAAGACTTCAGATATATAGGTGTTTCTACGCAACGTGCGGGCATTCGCCTAGTTGCATACTAATCACTGACTGCTATCATTTTTTCTGACATGAAAGTTCTATTATAACCTTGTGTGAATTTTAAAATTATATTGGACAAAATTGCAAAAATAGTCCCTATGGTATGCATTTTTTTGGGAATTTAGTCCGAACCACAATTTTTTTGGATTTGTGGTCCTTTTGAGCTAGTTTCGTTGAGTTTTTGGTCTCTCCAAATAGTGAAATGATTGTAATACCCTTGGGGTATTTATTTTTTATTTTTCTTTCATGTCTTTTTAAATCTAATACTAATTTATTTATTTTAATAATAAAAAAAGAACCCCCCCCCCACACACACACACTCTCTCTCTCTCTCGATCTATCTCTCTCCACCGTATACCCAGATGTATATTTTTTTCTTCATCTTCTTCCTATTTCCTTTGCATATTTCTTTATCCTCATGTTGCAGTAGGATTAGCAAAAATTAGAGAGATTTTAAATACTAACACCCCAAACACCAAAAGAAATAAAACCCCAAATCATCTTCATTGGGGAGACGAATATCACAGATTCAGGTTCTAGAAAGAACATCGAAAGCTACGAAAAGACCCAGAAGAAACTCAATTTTTGATCCGGGTCCAAATCTTTCTAGAATGGTCACTTATGCTCCCTCCATGGGTGTGGAGGGTTTACGCCTAGCAGTGACGATGACATACCAGAAGCACACATTTTGATGGAATTTGGTGGGCAGGTCGTTTACCGATGGAGGAAGAGTAACAAAAGATCCAAAATCATTAGTATAGTCTCTCAAGCTCTCCCTCTCTTTCCCCCGTTTTTTCTTTCTTTCTCTATCTCTTTCTCTCTCTCTCTCTCTCTCTCTCTCTCTCTTTCTCTCTCTCTCACACACACACAGATCCATTCCCACACATCCTTCACTACAATATGAACCTCCCTAATTTGTATTTTTGTGTGGCAACAAAAGAAAATCGCATCCCATTGTTCCTAAATTGAGAATCGACTGTAGCCCTTGTAGGTATTTGTGCTCTGATATCATCAATCGATTTTTTTTTTGGATTCTATATGTTTATTTTTAATCTGATTTTAGCATTTTTCTCATTCTTGGTGTTCTTGAGTCTTTTTCCATATTTTACACAAAAACTTAATGTTAGTTTAGATGGATTATTATGGGTGGAATCATCTAAACAATCGATTTGAGTGTCTTTAATTGAAATTGTTTTGAAAATCAACTTTCTGGGCCATTCTTATTGGTTGTTCTTCATGTGGTGAAATTGGATTGGACGAATAATCAAATGGTTTACTGCGTTTTTCTTGATGTTGTATGCTCCGACAGATTTAAACTTCCAAAAGTATGTTTGGGAAAATCGATGTTACGAATTAATGATATGTTGGATGATTAAAGGAGGAAATTGTTGTGGAGATTTGAGATTTGATACATTGGAACATGAGGATGAAGAAATACGTAGAAGAAATAGGAAGAAGACGAAGAAAAAAGTGTACATGTGGGTATACGGTGTGGAGAGAGAGAGAGAGGGCCCCTTCTTATTTTATTATTCTTAAAATAAATAAATAAGTATTAGATTTAAAAAGAATTGAAAGAAAAATAGAAAATAAATACTCCAAAGGTATTATAGTCATTTCACTATTTGGAGAGACAAAATTAGCAACGAAACTAATTCAAAACGACCACCAATACAAAAAAAAATCATGATGTGAACTAAAACTTAAAAAAAAATCATACCAAAGGGACCATTTTTGCAATTTTGTCATTGTTATATTACATAAAAAATAAATCGTACTATCCTCGTATAAATAGTCCCAACCTTACCTTCCAAAAACCATCAAAGATTTCTTCCGCTTCGCGCATTTCTACGGATCAGAGCAAACCCTAACCCTAGATTCGATAATGTCGTCCAAGCAAGGTACCCCCAATTGTTCTCAGTTCTCATAGGCGATCTAATTTTCATGAATTTTCAGTTTTGTTGAAATCGTGTTTGTTAATTTTTGTTATGGTTGAATTTATGGAACAATTTATTCGTATTGAGCAGGTGGAAAAGCGAAGCCATTAAAGCAACCAAAGTCTGAAAAGAAGGAATACGATGAGGTATTATTTATCATCATGAGCAACTCATTTTTCCTCTATTTTGTTTGTTCATAATTCTTTACTTTGTCGATCGACGATCGTCATTTTGATTGCTCGAAAAAAAATATATCTAACATGATTAGTTCTTGTGTGATGGTTGTAGTTTAATATCTCAATCGATAGGTCATTGTAGCTTAAGTTCTCTTATTAGTTGTGTTTTGATGGCGATTTTTTGTTTTCTAAGCTTAATCGTGCCTTGTTTATGATGCTATTAAGATCCGTTTCCCTGCTTAAGTTGTAGATTGGCCTTATGATCTTATCTAGTCAGCAATCATATGATGTTTCAAACTTTTGTTCTTGAGCTAAACTCAAATAATTTTATAAGAAAAAGGTTTATCCTCGAGGCAAATCTGTAGCTGCCATCAAAATTCACCAAAGTTTTTTTTTTTTTTTTCATATTAATGCTTATCAGCTTATGTGCATCCCTCTAGTCGTATTGTTGGTCTTGCATTGAATTGGGGAAACTTAGGTTTAGAAAATATAGAAAATATAAAATCGGTTAAACTCAACTCTATAGTGTTGTGATACAAAAACAATATCTGCGAATTGAACATAAGCATACAATTTGCAAAACTTATTTGCTTAGAGCTTCAACTATGGTACCAAATTGTTAATTCCTTTCAATTCATCTGGGCAGAATCCTAACCTTGCTAATTCGTTTTGTTACTCCAGGTTGATAAGGCCAACATTCAAAAGAAGAAAGATGAGGAAAAGGTGCATCATTTTCTGTTTTTTTTTTTCTTTTTGTTGAAAGTACATTAAAATCTAGGTTGCTAAAATGTGATATGCATTTTGATCAGGCACTTAAGGAGCTTAGAGCTAAAGCTCAAAAGGGAGCTTTGGGAGGTACTGGTCTCAAGAAGAGTGGAAAGAAATGATACCAAGTGATTGTTATGTGCACTGATTTCTGTATCAAGTTTTCTGTGATTGTTCTTGTAGAAATTTAAGTGGAACAATATATTGGTATTCTTGTTTTCTGGTTCTACTTGTTTGTGTTCAATATGCAACTTTTTTTTCTTTGTTTTCAATTTGAAAGATGTAGCAAGTTTAAATGGGTTGATCCACATTATGATTCAAAAACAATAACATATTACAGAAATCAAATTGGATAAGCAATATGTGAAACAGTCTAGGAAAAACTTCACCAAGGATTATTCATATTTCTTATTTCTATTCTCATCAATCAAAGATTGTACATATCAATTCACCATTTTTCAGTCTACAGATTTTAGCATCTTTCTCCCTTTATATCAAAATAAAAGTGAACAAGTATAAAGGATTTAGTAGCGACTGCCAGTGTTCTCATTAAGATTCAAACCTGTCATTGCATCAGAAGTGGTTGCGATGGAATCATTTAGCCCAGAGCTAACCTTCGCTAATATATGAGCATCATTGTAGTTTCTAACAGCTTGCACGATTGCCCTGACGCTCTTATAAGGATCAGAACAATCGAACACTTCAGATCCCACAAACACACCATCGCACCCAAGCTGCATCATCAGGGCGGCATCTGCAGGTGTTGTAATACCTCCGGCAGCAAAATGAACCACCGGAAGCCTACCCATTTGCTTCGTTTGCGCCAAGATGTCGTAAGGTGCGCCTAATTCTTTCGCGAATGTGAATACTTCATCTTCATCCATGTTTGTTAAAACCCTAATTTTCCCCATTACTTCTCTCACGTTTCGAACAGTTTCAGCAATGTTCCCTGATCCAGATAGATCTCCTTGAGTTCTGATCATCGCCGCACCTTCTCTCACCCTCCTTAACCCCTCTCCCAAATTCCGACATCCACACACAAACGGAATCCGGAAGTTATGTTTGTTGATGAAGTTATCCTCATCAGCTATCGCGATAACCTCGTTCTCATCTATGTAATCAACGCCGACAGCTTCGAGAATCTGCGCTTCAACGAAATGCCCCACCCGCGCTTTCGCCATAACCGGAACTCCGACAGCCCGTTGGATTTGTTTAATAAGGGCCGGATCGAGCATCCGTGAAATTCCTCCGGATTCCGATGGCTCTGCGACAATGACACAACAAGCTCCGGCGGATTCAGCGATCTTAGCTTGGTCAACATTTGTGACTTGGACAATCGCTCCGCCACGGAGCATTTGGGCTAATCCGACCTTAACTGAGAACGCATTCTTGTTCTTCTTGTTGGGATCAGATATGGCGTTGCTGCCATAAACAGTGACTGCTGTGTCGTCGGCCATGTGTGAAGTATTCGACAGAATAGAAGCGAAAGAAAACTGATTCAAGAGATTTGAACTGCGTTAGAATGTATAGAGATCGAGAAGATTTATATATAGAATTTGGAAAGTAGCAGCGATGGAGAGAGATCGAGAAGTTTCTGTAAGGTTCGTCGGTGGCTTCTTCCAGGGAAATTGCATAAAGTGTCCTCCCTTGTCTCGCACAGAATTTGACCAATTTCACAATAACCGTGAGTCCGTGACCCGCCACATAACACCATTTCACCGTTGTTAAATTTATTTTCAGATTTTGAAAGATGAATTTGGAAAAATAGAAATATAATTTGTTTTTTTTATCAATAAAGATATATTTTTAGATTTAATAATAATAATAATAATAATAATAATAATAATAATAAATCAAAATGTCCTGTCGCCTTTAGAGTTTAAACAATGGATTGTTGACCAGTTATCTAACTTTTTTTATATGTTGAATATGGTGACATGACATTGATTGAATAATGACATTGTATTTTAATTTATTTTAAAACAAAAAAGCTTAATTTTGGTAATTATAATTAAAGCCTTGTCCTGTTACCTGTATTATCTATCATATGCAACGCGTCGGCCTTTCAAGTTTCATCCCCTCACACATAAGCAGAAATGATCATGTGCATGAACTTTTGCTATTTGATCATTACAATGAATTCCAGTCCCCCAACTGGCCGCCCTACCACTAGTCCTGAGGACCATTTACAAAAGATAACTGTGGACTGGACTGGACTGCCACATGTCGGTTTTTCAGTTTCATTACCTGCAAATCCGATTTCCACATGATGACCAGTGTTTTATTAGTTTAAATATGCCACTTATAACAAAGTAAAGGAAAAAAATGTCATTTGGGGTAAATAGTAAAAAATTCAACTTATTTTTCATTTATCATACTTTCAACACTAAAAGAAACAATAAGCCAAACAATAAAAGTTCAAACATAATGTTTTTATTATTATTATAAATTTTGTTTAAAAAAGATTAAGACCCCTTCACTTTGTTAACAACAATCATAATAAAATACACAACTCGATGAGACCCAGATTGGAAACAAGCATAAAGAGGAGACCCAAATCACCGGCCAGTCGCTGACCACCAACATTGTCTCCACCTCCAGCCGTCCGGCGAACCTTTTATCACCATCTGTCACCATCGCCACCTGTTTTGTGAGCTAGCATCGCCACTATCGATCTGCGTTGAAATCTAATGCCACATTAAACCCTCACTATCGCCACCTCCATTAGGTATAAATTGATGGTTCTTTGATGGTGGTGATTGTGGCTCTTCATATTCACATCAAAAAAGACGAAATGATACGACAACGATCAAGGATTTGGGTTTCGACCCTTCAGATGGTAACGACGATTTAGGGTGTTCAGAAGAGAGGATCGTAAGTGGGGGTTTGATGGTGTCGGTGGGTGAGGTTTTGAGGCGGTGTTCTTCTCTGTGTGTGTGTGAGAGAGGGGGAGAGGGGGGGGGGGGTGTTGCTGATTTGTTATCATCAATGTTATTTAAATATAATGAGATTACTTTGGTGACAAAAAGTGATCTTGATAAACATTAAACAAGTGACGAATGTGTGGAGTACATACTTGTTTAAGTTTAATCAATTTTCAAAGTACACTATCATTTAGGGGCGAAGCCCCTGAACGAACGGGGGTTCGGGGGCAGCGCCCCTAGGAGAGGGGTCCAAGGGGCGGAGCCCCTGGATGGATATTTGGCTAGGGTATGTTACTATATTAAAAATGCATCAGAAATTTGTTTTTTCGGATATTGACCAATGGTTTGTGTGACATCTCCATTTTCACGGCCATAAAACACCGATTTGCTTATGCTTTGTTTTGAAAATCAGAGTAACATTTTAAAGAAAAGTATTGCGGAATTTGTTCCCAAAAGATTTATCAAAACATTTCTGAAGAAATATATTTCATTATAATAAAACCTCGGGATGTCATGTTCTATACAGATCAAAAACATAAACAAAACAACATAGAGCTTACAACATTTATTTATATCTACTGGCGTATAATCCGTAATCCATCATCAAGTCATCCAACTATGCTCTTGTGTCACTACCTGTAATATAAGGAATTGAGTGGGTTAGGATTGGGAGCTTGGTAAGCACATAGGGTTTTCAGCCCACAATAAATAATTTTATTAATTTCATCAAACCAAACAACCCGATTACCCGTTCCCGTTATCCTCACTTTACGTCCCTAAAACATTTATCATAAGGGATATATCCTAATCGTGATGGACACTACTGTTAAGGGGGTTCTTCAGCAATAAATGTCTGTAAGACAACCATGAGGAGGATGGAGTACATTGGTGAACACATCGTTCACAAACACATACAGGATGCAAGCCTACTAGCATTCCACTAGACTGTCTATAATAGTCAGTGGTCGTCATTTATACTCCGCTAGATGATTGGATCATCGTCAACATCGAGGCCTCTCATCATTTTATCACACGTCGTCTATTTCATCTACTCATGTTTTACCCAAATATTTTTGTAGATATAAAATACATATATAGTTTAAATCATTTAAAACTTGTATAAAAATGTTCATCCAGCATAGATATCAAGTAAGCAGATAATATGCACAGATAGCATATAATTTATATAAAATACTTAATATCTATGTGTAAGATGAAAGTAACTATGCACCCACCTGTTAAAGTGGTGATTCCAAACTCAGACAGCGCTTCACTTAATTTATTTTCCTTCGACGAAACCTAATATTATTACCACTAGATTTTAATCTAATATTCATTGTGACTAATTATTAGTCTAGATTCATCATTAACTCAGAGTCTACTTCATGATCTATCAAGTAAGGAACAACCAATTAGGATCATATCGGAGGTAGGTTCCGTTTGGTATACAAAGTATACTATTTGGAAATCTCACTTTAAACACCTCACTAAATCACAGTCTATACATCATCTTCGTAAGTAGATCAATCAGTATAACGACTTTGAATCACTAATAAATCTTATTTATAGGTTCATAATAACGATATTATATTTAAATATAGGCTATATTTAAAGTAGGGTAGGCGTATCTCAATTACAGTGGGTTTTACTAAAAACATGGCTCCGCTGGAGTAGAGCTTCTGAGCCGAAAAACTCTTTTTTTCAGAGTCGTCGTGCGCTCCGGGGCTTCCTTATAGTGCTAGGGATGTACCCTAGGCTTGGGGGGTGGGGGTGGGGGTTTGCGAGGCTAGAGAGAGAGAGAGAGAGAGAGAGAGAGAAAGAGAGAGAGTAGAGAGAGAAAGAAATGGATTTGAGGTGTGAGAAATGAGGTTGCCTCGCACCCCCTATTATAGGGTCGAGGCTTCGGATTACAATGGGCGTACCTTCGGTAGTACGTTGCGCGTAGAGGGCAGGTGTCGGCCTTCGCATGGAGCATCGTGGCTAGCTTCGGACTAGAAGGAAAGAGACTGTTGGGTGTACCAACTTCGTACGCGGGGCGTACTTCGATACGCGAGGCGTCCGAAGGTACGCTGGGCATAGTCCTCGCACTAGCTTCACTTTTTACACCTTCAACTTCTAAAATTTGTAACTTTTGCATACGAGCTCCGTTTTTTATAATCTTTGTATCCACGCGTAGGTGGGACTGTACTCTACAACTTTCATTTAGAATCTGTTGGCTAAATTTAACGTTATTTTTAAAGTTATATTTTTTAACAGGTCATGACAGAAAAAGTCCATTAAAAATCCATATAACTTCTTCATCCAACGTTCGTTTTTGTCTGTCTTTTTACCGTTGAACTACTATTAACTAAACCTTTGATTCTCATTTAGGTTGTGTCGGCTAAAAATCGGTCAATCTACTATTCTAACTCCAGGTTACATAATGCTACGTTGAAACTTAGAAAAATCATAACATTGTCATACAAAGTCAGATTTGGACGTTCTTTATATGCATGCTCTCGGTTTAACGTATGCTACGAATTTTGTTTAGATCATTAAGGCTAAAAATCACTTTATCGTAAACTCACTTTTTACGTCACGCAGTGTCGTGCTGGTTCTATCGCGAAACTTCGACGGTTCATAACTTCTTCATTATAACTCGGATTTCCGCATTATTTATATCTCCGGAATCATTGTTACGACCACTACAACTTTCTTCATTGATATCAGGTTTATCTAACATTTTATTTTTGACGCTTATTTTCATTCTTGATTTATTGTATCTTTATAGAAAAATATATAAGCACATAAAATCATATAATATACATAATATTCAAGTAATTCATCTTTATTACTTCAAATGAGTTACAATTGTTGCCTTGAGTATTACATTATCGTTCTAATGCTTAACCTAGAAACACGGACGTTATATTAATCGACATGAACTGTCTGATTCTTCGACTCTTACAAATATTTTTACTAAAAATATTTCAAGTATGTAATTAAATAATAGACCATAACCTGAGGCCAAAACGTTCTCTAAATTTCCATCTAAGGTGTGCAAGTGCCTCAACGGATCGAAACGGTTTAGATAGTTAAAAGAAAATCAATATTTTATTCGTTTGCATACGAACTTCGTTTTGGGCGTTGTTTATATTTCTAGACTAGTGTGAACATGTACTACGAGACTAGAGCGTTTGCTTCGCTCACAACTGCTTAATACGAAATTTTAGTTTTTCAGATGCATTAACTAGGTTTACAGTTTGTGATGCATGATTTGTTTGAGATTTTCCACGATTGAAAGTAAGATACCATCTCATACTTTATTTTAATTCTAATGACACTTGATGTGTGTAAAATGCACTAGTTTTAATCCTACTACTTCAAACACAAATAAACACACGAAAGACAGTGTACGTATCGTTTAACAATATAGTTCAAGCAAGCAGGGTATCGAACACAGAAACGGTAACAATTAAACTAAATACTAGAATTACCTAATTAAAACAAACAATAAAAAGAAGGGGTTTTCTATAGTTTTGCAAGACTAGAAACTTAACAGTTAAATAATACTTAAACAAGAACAACTAACAGTTAAGGAAATTAAAGATAACTAGATTCAATATTAAAAGAGACTTCTGTTTAGGTTCGACTCACTTGTTTCTATAATTGATTTTATGGCAAGTGCAATTGATTATTTTGTCATTGGCTACCGATTAATGTGATTAGATTCATGTTCACTATTACTAATCCTTAGATAAAATTAATTTAAACCGTGGTCAATTGGTTAAACTAATAAATTTCCTAGTATTTTGATTTGGGTTAAGTAAGACTTGTAGTTGTAGCTAATTAAATGACTAATTTAATCAACATCTTCTTATATGGTTGTTCATCACACAATCTTACACATTAACTTACCTATTTTCTATTAATCCTAGGTTCATATTCAATAATACTAGGCATATAATGTTGTTTTCACATAAATCATATGAAGCAAGTAATTAAGAGGATGTTCATGCAACTTAATAGACTTGATAACTAACAGAAAATAGTTATTGTCAACACATAAGGATCGTTTACAAGCTTAGCAAAACGATTTTCACCAAATTAAATAATCCATACCATAAAATCAATCCATATTAACAAGCTAGTCTGCCCTAAATAGAAGTTATGAGTTTTTAGCTTATGTTTACAGCAAATAATATCTCAAAAACGAAATCTGTAAGTAAAAACATAGTTTTATGCAATAGATTAAGAGAAGAGAGTATATGTTGCCTTTGATCTCTTTCGAATTGATCTTTAGGGTTAATCTTCGAACTCCAGAGTTTCAATAACCTTTACTTTTCACAGCTAAGTCGCCAAAGGATCTAGAAGAAGTCTTTGCCTCAGGCTATTATGTCATATACATAGTTTTTTGAAAACAGGGGCGACTTGTCGAGTCCCATAGCTTGACTCGACGAATCAGTCACTTAAATCCCGTGTGCAACAAGTCTTCAAATGTTCGCGAATATTCATGTCTACTCGATGATTCGATGGCCAACTCTCCAAGTTCTTCACCCTTTTAGCTTCATTTTCTTCTTTCTTTACTTCCCGAGCTTTCGTTTGCTAATCCCGCTTCCTTTTTAACTCGAGCATGTCTTTTAGGCTGAAAATACAATTTAAACACAATTAAGTACCTTTTGTTCAATAACTAGGACAAATTAGCCAAAAAGTATTAAGATTTTGGACAAAATA